AAACCTGGAACGGTTGTATGGAACGGTGTATGGAAGCGTTTCGTTCGTTCAACCCTTTATTTCTAGCCTTCGATTCGGTGTTTTAATATTTGATCCCCGTGAATTTTAACTTTCCCGTTTAATTAATATAATCCGTGTAGAATAAAAAAGAAAAAATATTTCGCGATAGAGAAGAGAGGATTTTGGTAATACGAACGATGAAAATATATATATATATTAACTTCGAAGAATTAATGAAAATTAACATTACGAACGTGATTGGCGATCCCTCAAACGATCCACAGGTTGGAAATCCGCGAAATTTTAAATCAAACTCTCGTCGATAGACGAAGAACAAGGTTTGATTGGAAAATACAAGTAGAGAAAATAGGAAACAATCCAGCAACACTTTGAAGTCCGACACCTTTGCACCGTGAACTTTTTATTTATGAACTAGCCACGATCGTTGTGGATTGTATGTGTATATATATATATATATATATACGTGAATGTAGGTGGCGACTGGTACGAGGAAAGGGTTGTTGTAACAGCAAGAAGAAAGGAGCACGAACGGCGTCAACGAATAAAGGGGTTGTGGGATGGGTCTGTGGAAACAGGGAGGAAAATAAAAAGAGGAGAAGGAGGAAGGGGGAAGGGGGGGAAAGGAGATGGGAAGAAGGAAACAGAGGCGAAAGTAGCGCGCGGAACGGCATTACGTAGGTGCAAGAAGAGCAAAGGAAATGGAAGAAAGCGGCGAAGCTGAAGGCAGGCAAAAGGGAGAGAGAGCCGCAAAGGCCACAGAGTCACCCAGTGACTGCACCTACACCCTGGCCCGTCTCCAAATCTACTCTACAAGCTTTTTCTATTTTAGCCCCTTATTTTTCCGTTCTTCTGATTTATCGTTTTATTGTTCACCACCCGGTCTGACGACCGCTAAACCTCGCCCACCCACCCTTTGTTCTCCTCGTAACAACTCCTCGATCCTTTTTTTACACTCTCTGTCTCTTTCTCTCTCCCCCTTTGCACAAGGTCTCACCTCTGATCGACACGTAACGATGCTCGTCCCGGGGCCAACCTCACCCTCCCTCACCTACCACCGATGGATCCACAAGTCTTTTGGCACAGAAATATCGATACAAGCTTTGCTCTTGCACGATGCTCTTACTGGATGCTGGCCATATCTTTTTGACGCGTTAACGAGCGTCAAGAGTCACTCTTCATCAACGATTCTATTTTACCTTTCTTCGTCTTTGCGTTATCGTTATTTTGAATTAAAATTATTAACGATATCAAACGATTTATTAATCCCTCGTTATCCTAGATTATTTCGATCTGCAATCAATCAACGATAATATATTAGATGATTGATCGAAATTAGAATTTAATCACGGAGTGAAGGTAATCGAATAATCTGTGTTTCCATTGATAATAAGTAACGTGACGAATTATTCGAAGAACGTTAACGTAATCGAATAAATACTTTATTCTCGAGAAATCGAAGAAGGAGAATAAGTTTTGTAAGTACCACCACCACTACTACTATTACTACTACTACTGTTACTACTTCGTAGCACTTTCGAGTCGCTTCTTTCAGTCGCGCTGTCAAATCATGAAAGATTCTCCTTGTCGTCGGGCTGCGGGCGAGGCAACAAGGGCAAGACGCGTCCCATCTTGGCTGGATATCCGCCAAAAATCACCATCCCGATTCTCAACCGTCTTCCATATTCGAATCGTAGCATCTAGTCCACTTCGTGATCCGACTATCTGGCCTCCCTCTATCTTTTCATAGGAAGGCTCGAGTGAACTCGACTATATTGAGAACCATCGTGGGAACGTCGATCACCCTGAGGAGAGTGCTTCTGCGCCTCGTTTGCCAGATACCGGCGGCAACATCGGATGCAAGAACATCTTAAATCAGAACTAACAATAAACTTACTTACTTACTTACTTACTTACTTTCTCCTACTTTGCATTCCGTATCCTTTTTTCTTTTTTTTTTTTTTTTTTAT